GTGTATTTCAGTAGATCTGCTGGTTCTGCTCCCGACGCTGTCTCTGGTGAATCCTCTCACGACCCACACCTCTAGCCAATCTTTTAAGCAAAACAAAAACCATAATGGTTTTCTCATACATAATCTAGGTACTAGAGACTTAGTTTCTCAATTGTTTTCTTCAATAGTGTAACTGCTGTTATTAAGTTTTTACAAGGAGAATATGTTTGCTTTGTTCATACTCTTTAACAATTTTGTTTTTGTCATTTGTTTGGGCTATTTATTTTTCTTCTATTGTTTTAGACACATTTTACTTATTTTTTGCTTTGCCATTTTCAGTTTCTTGGATGCATGCTCAGATTTATGCCCTTTCAATTTTGAGCGATATATGCACTTAAGGCATTTGAATTCAAAAGATAGAATATTACTTTCATATTTTCCTTCTGATTAATATGTTGTGAACATACATTATTATCATCTCTTTAACTCATAAAATAGACGTATCACTGTATTCAAAATCATGTAGGGATTTAATTTTTATGGTTACTATTTTATTTGAATCTGTTAGAGAATTTTCTTTGAAACTAGAATATTTTACATTTCTTTTGATAATGGCTAGTGTGACTTTGTGATTTAAAAACCTATTTTTTTTTTGAGGATCCTTGGTGGCACAAGGGGTTAAGCACAGAATTGTGAAGATATCCTTAGCCTCTGGAGCATGTTTCAATCCCCGGCCTTCCAGGGAGCTACCCATGTTGTGCAGCAGACCTCTCCTGTCTCTCCCGCTGCACCCCTCAACAGCATATTTCAGTCAGTCTACCTGTTGTGCTCCCCACTCTGTCTCTGGTGTGAATCTTCTCATCCTCCTGCATCTACTACACCTCTGGCTTACCCCCCCCCCCAGTTCTTGTATGCATGAATAAATAAATAGTTAAAAAAAAACTTACTTTTTCTGTCCTCCAATATATGGTTAAGTGATATTTTATAAAAAATCTACTTTTTTTCCCCTGAACAGTTAGGGTAGGACTTTTGTCATATTTACAACACATATTCCTTGAAAGTACATTCCTTGTAAATACATATTACTTACTACTCTGTAAATACATATTACTTAGGGGATTATGGTTTTACAATGTTTCCATTAAAATAGAATTGACATATGAGACTATAAGAAAATTATATGTAATGGCAAGACTCTAGCAGTGAAATATCGCCTAGACACTTAACTGAAGTTTTCATGTTCGTGGTTGAGATGGAAGCAATTTAACAGCCAAGTATGGTTAAGACTTTTTGCTCCCTTATATCTTTTAGAATAGGAAGACAATTTCTTAGAGGCCTTCAATGGACAAACTAAATGACACATTACAAGTTCAGCCTCCTCTGCTCTGGAGGTGTGTGATGAGAAACTGCCTTCACAATAGCTAGGATTTCCTGTTCAAGTTTTAAGAAACACTTTGACAAGAAATCTACTTTTTTCCAGTGTTGTTTCACTCTGCACCATCACACAGTGTAAACCACAGATTTTGTTTGTTTGTTTCCATGAGTAACCAGGTCTCCCACAAGTGGATATGCCACTCTTTGGACTAGAGAAGGTATGTGTTCCTACTCTCCCCTCTCTCTAAAAGCTCATCTCATTGATCACAAATGCTGTATATGATACAACATTGCTGTGCAATCAAATTATAGAGAACATCGGTATCTTTATTGTATAATTCAGGATAGGAAAATTAGCATAAATATGAAAAATATTATAGGTTATCTTAAATATGCAAGTTATTTACTGTACAGATTTCCTCAAGTGCATATATTCAAGGATAATTTGTTTTTTCTTTTTTTTTTTTTTAATAGAGGCATGTTTTATTTATTTATTTATTTGTTTGTTCGTTTGTTTTGTTTTATACATGCACTGGGTACAGTCAGAAGCGCGGGAGGGTGAGAGAATTCACCAGAGCCATAGCGGGGAGCAGAGCAGGCAGAAGGACCAAAGTACACTGCTGAGGGGAGCAGCGGGTGGCAGGAGAGGTCTGCGGGCCATGTGGGACCCTCCTTCGGTGGCCGGGGAGCAGCCGAGAATCGAGCGGGTGCTGCAGAGGCTGCGGGCAGCTTCGCAACCCAGCGCTCAACCGCTGCGCCAACGGGGAGGCCCCGATAATTTGTTTTTTCAATCAATACAGTCCTGGCTGAAATCCCATAAGCATTGTGACAGGCAACTGTTTATTCTGGAATTTGCAATCAGTACAGATAAAATAGCATATATCATTTATTTAGTGCAGCCTTTAAACATAGATTCTTAAAATAAATTCATTTAATCAGGAAGGTCAGATGTAATTCCTCATATACTTTCTTCATCTTAATAAAACCAATTTAATTGTTTATACAAATGAGAATGAATAGTCCACAAAATTCTAACTTACTTATAAAATATCAAAAGTCTTTTTTTTTTAATTAAATTGAACTAAACATAACCAAAATACACACAACGCTGATAAAGAGATTCCTGTCTAAGGAACTGTGCTATATGGTCTAACTGATATGAATCAGAAATAACTTTGTCAGTTTGTCAGAACACAAAATAAAATAACTGAGCTTAGAAAGGGCAGGTTAAAAATTAGTGATTTACATGTATATCTTATATGTTTTTATTCCAGTTTTAGATTTGTAAGCAAAACAAAATTAGTATACTCTACATAACTTTTGTAGGTTTCAAAGCCAGAATTAATTTCAGATTTCACTCTCTGTGGACCTCATTGATACCATTACTAAATTGCATTATCTGTTTTATTACAATTAAAATCCTTCTGGAAGTTTGAGCCAACAGCATTGCCCCCTGAAAGATTTTTATGATTTTTTTTTTCTTTTTTCTCTTTTCCAATCACTCATTTATCAACTTCTTGTATAAAATAAATGTCATTTCAAAATCTTTGCCTTGCCAATATTGTTTAGGATTTCAAGAAGTTAATGTCACATATTCTATATAGTAACTATTCCTCAAAATTTTAATGATTTCTTAAAACTCTATAATATTTTGAGAAAATATTTTATTTTAACCTCTAATTCCTTTTAATAATAAATTTTATTCACAATATAAAGGTAATTTAGAGCAGGAAATTAATACATATTCTAACACAACTATTGCACACTATAGAATGTCCATATAATTATCAATACATTAAAAATAGTATAGATTAGCACATCATTTTCTCATACAGCATGTTAAGACATTATTCTGATATTTTCAAAATGTTTTATGGATGATGACTTTAATAAGTGTGGATGTTATTATTTGTGAACTTTACGCCATTAGTATTTGTTCTTCTATTCCCCCAAAACATTACAATGATGTGAAAAATAAAATAGCATTTTTAAAATTATTTCTTATTATGCAACACATTTTTTAAGTCTAAGGAAATTTTAGTCTTACTTGTCCATCACTCAGCTGCAGTATGAGTTTATTACTCTACATGCTCGCCCACATGACTACACTAGGGATCTGGTCATCATGCACAGCGTTTAGTTAAGACTTGCCTGCAGCTATCGGAGAGCACCGTCCCTGACACTACTCAGCTGCAAGGATGAATGAGCAAACAGAGAGCTACCCAGAGGTGAATCTGCACCCAAGAGGACAGCAAATGAAAGGTAAGGGCACATAAAGCTCCACTTCATCAACAGAATAGTAAATAACCTCTGTGGAATGACATCTTCAAAACACTATTCAGGACCTTCAAGGGAATGACAAGTACTACGCATGCAAAAATAAAACATTTAATAGACACACATGTAACTGCTCTGGGCTGTGTGATTGGGGTGCTGGTGTGCGGAAAGAGTAGGGGATAAGCTCACAGAGTTTTCCCATGTGAGAGTTTAAGCTTGAAATATGACTATGTCATTCTAATATGAATTGTAAGGACAAATTTATTCCAGTTGTTGGAAATTGGAGTCTTTGACTACATCTCATAGAGCATTATGTTTACTGAAATGCAGAATATTTTTTTTTAAGATTTATTTATTTATTTATTTATTTATTTATTTATTTATTTATGCAAGCATGGGATACAGTCAGAAGCGCGGGAGGGTGAGATAATTCACCAGAGCCAGAGCAGGGAGCAAAGCAGGCAGAAGGACCGAAGTACACTGCTGAGGGGAGCAGCGGGCGGCAGGAGAGGTCTGTGCGCCATGTGGGACCCTCGCCCTCGCCCCGTGGCCGGGATCGAACCCGGTGCTGCAGAGGCTTCTGGCACCTTCGCAGCCCAGCGCTCAACCGGTACGCCACCGGGGAGGCCCTGAAACACAGAATATTCTGGCGACACGATTACAATGGGAGATGTGGGCTTGGGATCCAACCTTCCATACTTGACTCCTTGTGCAGGCGGGTTCTAGCATCTGTAAACTGTCAACATTTGTCTCCATTTTTAACCTGTGCTTCCATTTCTCTCCCTGGAGACACGCCATTACCTCCAGGGCAGATTGCTGCTGAGGTCCTGGGGATCATCTGCCTGGTCTTGGTGTCCACTGTAGTAAAAAACATATTCCTTATTCCTGGTAAGATAATTCTGAAAAATTATTAGTGACATAGTTTACACTCGATGGTTACTAGTGCTATAAAAATGTTCAGACATTAAGGAGAACATTCATTTTTAATGTATGGTTTTAATTAAGTGTTGAATTGTTGTTCTGAATTTGTCAAAGTGTAAATACGCAGAATGATTATGAAGGTTATTTTATAGATTCATATATCATGATTCAATGACATGCTTTAGGAAACTGAGAGACCCAATTGAGAACTATGAATTTATTTTTGATAATTGGTAACACTGTAGGAGATGGTGAAAATTGACTCTAAATTTTTGCAGTATTTTCCCCCAAAGACTTATTCTTTTATTAATTTTCAGAGAAAGTACTGTATTATAGAGTATTTCTATAACCATACCAACATACAACATTTCTAACTTAGAAATAGTATACTGATTAGTATTTATTGAGAACGCTATTCATTTTTATAAGGATTATATTATTTTTTCTAGCTACTACTGAAGATCCAGAGAGGAGTGATTCCTCCACAGTAACAAACAGCCAGAAAGGTACACAAAGATTTCCAAATTCTGATTTTAGTAGTTTATATATACATATATATATATATGTTAGACTTGTAATAATTGTAACAAATTTTCTCTTAGAACATACAATATAAAGTCAAATAATAAATGTTCATGAATGATGATAATAGGATGGGTTCATCATATCCAACAACAGGAAGAAAATTTACTTAGAACCCCCACGCACATGTGGCCAATTGGCTCATATCCTGCTGCTATTATATGTATAAACAATTTTACTATTAAAAAATGACTTTATTTACTATGTCAGGACATTTACATGGATATTTTTTGTGTGAGTTTGGTTCATATGGGTACATAAATTATAGCATGAAAAGCTTCCCCTTTATCTGTGAGTGTGTGTTGTATGTACCGGCTGTGAGGTGTGCGCCTATGTTATGCACATGATTGTTTATCTCAACATGCATATGATATGCCTTATTTTATTAAACACAAATAATTCTAGGGAATAATTCATAATCTCTCTTCAGCATGTCATTGTGGCCCTTGTCCAAAGGAGTGGTTTACGTACTCCAACAACTGCCATTACTTTAGTGCTGAACAAAAAACCTGGAAGGAGAGCGTGAAGGTCTGTCAGAGTAACAAGTCTCAGCTGCTCTACATAGACACTGAGGAAGAAATGGTAAGACTTTCAGTGTCCAACCACTTTATTGAAGACTTATTCCTGTCAAATTTATATTTATAAATTTCATGCATATTTTTGTCCAAATTTGTAGTTTATTTTTAAGTTTGTATAATGTTCCATTGTCTGACATTGTGGATTTTACAAAAAATCTTTGACCCATTAATGTACACTTGAAAAATCCTGATCTTGACCTTCTTATAGAACAATATTTCTAATATATATATTTTATATATGTGTATGTATATATATTATAGATATGTGGGTGTATATATTAAATAAATATTGCAGTTTAATACACATCAAGAAAGGCAAGCATATTGTGATTGGGCAGATTAATCACCAAGTGAATGAAAATTGTGCCTGCAGAGCAGCTCCTGAATAGAAGTCCCAGTCCCCAGAGCACCCCAGGCATAATGTCTCTCTCTCCTCACTCCTACTGCTGGTTATTAACCACTGACTTGACTTTTAATTTCATAGCTCTCTTTTCTTGTTTATGAACTGAAATGCAATCACACGGTATATACTTAGTTCCTGTCTCATCACTCCCCTATAATTTGTCGGTAATTCATCTGTATGTTGCATTTATCTGCTGTTTGCCAATTTTCACTGCAGAGTTTTATGATATAACATGTTAAACCCAGTTTGTTTTCTGTGTCAGGGATGAGGTGTGTGTGTCACCTGCTGAGAGATAAAGAAATTCTAGGGTTCAGTATCCTTAGTGATAGGGTCTCCTTAGTTATGGGGAAAGGCTGGCCTGAGCCTCCTCCTGTTGCAGGTTGGTGCTACAGTCCTCAAGCATAGGTCAGAATTGTCCTTGTTCACATGACAAGAAGAGTGAAGTTACTAAGTATAAAACTTTAGGAGCACAGGTTATAGAATGATGATGTTCTCGTAAGAGTTTGTGGCACTATGCACAATAGTTTTCAGCACACTACGTGTATGTGGTATGAGATTGGAATCTGCCCTTCATTCTGAAAAAGTAGGATCTTGTGAAAGAACACATTATTTATGTTTTTAATTAAAATGAAGCCTTTCATCATTCTTATGTAAGTGAAAATTCTTTATGTTTGAATAGAAATTTATGAACTCCATGTCAGTTTCATCATGGATTGGAGTCTACCGTAACGACAGCGATCAGCCATGGACATTTGTAAATGGGTCAACTTCACACCTAGAGTAAGTTTTATTTAAATAATATGATAATACAATTTAAAAATGCCATTGTTTCTCATTTACCCCACCCTTATGAACTTCGAGAAGAAAGGTATGAAAAGGAATATAAGAAGAATGATATTAGTGTATTTGATTTAAATAATAGACATGAAGAATGGTGTTGAATGTGAGTGGAATCTTCATAAATATTGAAGAAAGGACAGCTCAGTTTGTCTAACTGATAACTCTTACAAATATTCTATGAAAATCGTCTTCATCCATTTTCACAATATGTTTGTATTGCAATCAAAAGAAATGCCATGGTTTCTTGGTTTGCCCCAACATTATATAACAACAGAATTATGCATTTTTTCTTTTTTACAAGATAAGGGAATCATTATCTGCTAACAATCACTGTGTTATGCTACAATCTAAATATTATGCAGGTAATTGTTAAGATCCATATATGTATTATTGCAAGCATAAGCTTTAAATTAAAACAAACAGGGGCCTCCCCGGTGGCACAGCAGTTGAGCGCTGGGTTGCGAAGCTGCCCGCAGCCCTGGCTGCTCCCCGGCCACCGGAGGAGAGTCCCACATGGCGCACAGACCTCTCCTGCCACCTGCTGCTCCCCTCAGCAGTGTACTTCGGTTCTTCTGCCTGCTCTGCTCCCTGCTCTGGCTCTGGTGAATTCACTCACCCTCCCGCACTTCTGACTGTACCCAGTGTTTGTATAAGTAAATAAATAAATCTTAAAAATAATAATAATAATAAAATAAAACAAACTAAGTTTGGTTTTATTTGTGTAACTTTCCATTTCAAGAATTGATTTTTTTTTATCTAATGTCTTTTTCTCAGCATAATATTTGAAATGCACTATGTTCAGGAAATATACAAATAACATAACTTTTGTGCCTGACATTTTTTGTTCAACATTTCATGTGCGGCGTTCAACCTTCATGAAGATCATTTGTTGTGTGAGACTATTTATACATAATGGCAAATACACTTTCATACAGAAAATAGAATGGGGGTTGCCAGGGACTGGGAGGAGGTGGGATGAGGAACTGGCCACAGATTTTTTCTCTGTTTCTTTTTGAAATGATGGAACTTTTTTTCAGAGCTAAGAGTACTGATGTTTGTAAACTCTGAATATGCTAAATATCTTAAATTTATTCACTTTAAATGGCTGAATTTTATGCTTTGAAAAATTTATCTCAATAAAGCTGCTTTGAAAAATTCCTGTGATGATATTTGAGAACATTTAATCTTTAAAATAATTTGGAGAAAAATGCATGACTGGATCAAGAAGATGTGGTATATATACACAATGGGATATTATTACTCAGCAATCAAAAAAATAAACTCATGCCATTTGCAGCAGCATGAATGGAGCTGGAAGGGATCATGCTCAATGAAATAAAGCAGAAAGAAAATGAAAAATTACGGTCTGTTTCACTTATAGGAGGAATGTAGAAGATCCAAATGAGGGATCAGGAGAAAAAAAAAAGTTATTGTGTAAGGTGAAAATCAAAATCAACAAGCAACTATAAACCAGAGACATTCTGCAGGGGCAGAGAAGGGAGTAGGATCAAAATGGGTGGGAAAAGCACAAGGGTCTATGGTGAGGTTCACGGGTGACTTGGTGGTGGGAATTTCAGGGGGGCAGGGGGAACTCAATGAACTATGGTTGAGGAGCGTGGGTACTCTTGGTGGGCATGGTGTGATGTCTTGTACAGGGAGGTTCAGTCAGATCACGTGTTCCTCAACTCAACTATATAATTATAAAGAATGATGTTAAGAGGATGCCAAAAATGGATGGTTTTAGAATACAAAGAGTCACAGAGAAGTCAGTCATAAATGGCCAAAATGGCAGCTTTCTTTGTGTTTAACTTTCTACTCATATTCCTAAGATGTGGAACATAATGGGTTCTTATTCTGGACTTGAGAATTAACAGTATTTATTTCAGTACCTCTTTTGGATGGAAGATGGTGACTTTCTAAAATTTCTATATCAGTCAATATGTTTTTAAAATCACTGTAGAAGAATGTGTGTGATTCTAAGGCAGGCAGCTCCAAAGAGAACACAGGATGGACACATTTGTGCATGTCCAATCTTAGTTTCTAAAAGTACTAACCTGAAAGTTGTATTTATTTGTAATTCATTAATGTAATCTTGTGCATAAGGTAAGATATTCACATTTAATATGCCATTTTGCTCTTCATTTTATGAGGCCTCTCCCTTATAGACTGCCATTGTTGTGTCTCTGTGTGTGTGTGTGTATGTGTGTGTGTGTGTGACTGTAAGACAACATGGAAAAAATTAACTTTTGTTCCTCACATACTCTGAATTGGCTATCATATACTAATTTAATGACCTTAATATCTAAGGTTTATATTTTCCTTTTCTTCCTCACTTTTATTCTAAACTATAGGTGTCAGGCTTCCCTGTTGGCCCAGCTGGTTGAACTCAGTGCTTTGAAGCTGTCTGCAGCCTCTGCAGCACAGGTTCAATTACCAGTTGGCCAGGGAGATACCCACATGGCATGGCAGACCTCTCCTGGCTCACTCTCTCCTCCCCTCAGCAGTGTATTTCATCAGTCTGCCTGTTCTGTTCCCCGTTCTGTCTCCGGTGAATCCTCTCACCTTCCTATGCCTCTGCCCTGTACCCAGCTCTTGTATAAATAAATAAATCTTTAGAAAAAAATACAATAATCTATATGTGTCAATATTAGCCAAGATTTCCTGCAACAGTTTCCCTATAAACAGTTCACATAAACTTACTACAATAAAAAAATACATAAATACACAGAAATGATAAAATGCTAGCAATAAAAAAAGCACTTGATTTTTGAATAAGCATGTGGAGGGGTGAGGTGCCAAGGTAAACAATTAAAGATCTCTTTCTAATTAAATAAAAACACAATTTTACATTCTTATCATTAATTTTATTTCTTTACTCATTCATTTGTTTTCATGAGTTTTTTTGCATCTCCTTCATTAGATTTTCTGAGAGCTTTTTTTTTCATCATTTGACAGCCTTAAGTTTTCTTCTTTCAGTTTGAGTCCCTCTTCCTTCCTTCCTTCTTCCTTCCTTCCTTCCTTCCTTCCTCCTTCTGTGTAGAAAACTGGAGTGTAGGCCAGAGGTGTGGGGGAGTGAGAAGATTCACCAGACAGAGTGGTGAACAGTGGATTTACTGAAATACACTAAGGGGAGCAGCGGGTGAGGCAGGAGAGGTCTGCCGTTCATTTGAGTTAGTTTCCTGGCAGGGATTGAACTCAGGCTGTAGTGGTGATAGTGCTGAGACTTAAAGCCAAGGAGGCCCGTGCTGGAATATCTTTATTATAGCATATTTCAATTCTGTATCTGTAGTTTTATTCTGGAGAGTTGTTCTTCTTTATGATATTTTATTCCATTAAGATCTTGGTTGCCATGTGTTGTAAGTTTTTGGTCGGCCAATTTTGCTACTCTTTAATTACTTATATTAAAATAAAATACACAGGGCCTCCCTGGTGGTACAGCATGTTGAGTGCCATGCTGTGAGGCTGTCTACAGCCTCTGCAGTGCCGGTTCAATTCCCAGATGGCCAGGGAGATTCCCACATGGCGCACAGACATCTCCTGCTCCCCCTGCTCCCCTCAGCAGTGTACTTCGGTCCTTCTGCCTATTCTGCTCCCTGCTCTGTCTCTGGTGAATTTTTTGCCCTCCCACACCTGGTCTGTACCACAATGTTTGTATAAATAAATAAATCTTAAAAAATAAAATAAAATAAAATAAAAATATGCAGCAATAACTTAGACAGTTAACCCTAACCCGCAGGGAGGTACTTTAGTAGATCTTTAAACATATCTTTTAGTTAGAGTCATCTAGAAATTAGAACTCTTCATTAAAAAAAATTTTTTTTCAAGAGAATGAATTTTTTTTGTCATCATATGTAAGGGTATTTGTTTTTTTTAAGGATTTTTTTGGGGGCCCTTCCTGATGGCACAGAGTAAAAGTCTCAGCACTATCAAGCAATAGCCAGCCACTGTGGCATGAGTTCACCCCTTGCAAGGGAGCTAACCCACATGGTGAGCAGACCTCTCCTGCTCCCTTCAGCAGTGTATTTCAGCAGATTTGCCTGTTCTGCTCCCCACTCTGCAATTTTAGAAATATTTCATTAAATTAGAAATGAAAATGAGAACATAAGGAAGTTACATAGTCCCAAGGTCAGCAACCTTCTCTTCAAGTAGAACATATAAGATGCAAGACCTAAGTTTTCAGTGTTTTGTGGTTGAGATGGAAGCAATTGAACAGCAGTGCAGTCTGGTTCCCTGATTTTTTTTTTAAATGGGAAAACATTTTGATTAGCATTATCTTTTCCAGCTCCATCCATGTTGTTGCAAATGGCATGAGTTGAATATAAAGTAATTAAATTAATAGTCAGATAAAGACAAGTTGAGAAACTAACCTGTGATATCTGACTACAAAACTGAGACCATAAAGGAGGGGGGTTGGGAGGGAGAGAGGGAGGCACAAGTTCTGTGATGGTGGACTATGGGCTGGATGGTGGTGGATGCACTATGGTGGCATTGTGTGATAGGTATACCTCAATGATACTTAAGTTAAAATAATAATTTAAAAAAGTGGGAAAACATTTCTCAAAGGCATTTTTCAATGAACAAACTAAAGACACATTACAAACAAAAAGTCTCCCCTACTCTGGAGGTGTGATGAGCTAAACTGTCTTCACAGTCTAGACAAGTGCTAGAATTTCCTGTTCAAAATTTGACAGTGATAGAAATCTACTTTTGCCACACTTGCTTCATTCTGAACCTTCACAGGAGAGTCTGTGTAAACCACAGATATTGTTTGTTTTTTTCCCAACAATGACCAGATCTCCCACTATAGGATACTCCACTCTTTGGCCAAAGAAGGTATGTTTTCCTATTCTCCTCTCTACCAGCCATCTCATTGATTACAAATGTCATATATGATGCAACAATTCATATGCAATCAAATTATAGAGAACATTGTTATCTCT